CACTAAGAAAGTAGAAATAAAAGGGAACTTCCATGACTTGATAAGTGGCATCTATGAAAAAGCCACAGCTAACATCATGTTTAATGCTGAAAGATTGGATGCTTTCCCCCCAAGATCAAGAACAAGACAAGGCTATCCAAATTCACCACTCTGATTTAACTACTGTTCAATAGAACATTTAGACAAAATATAAAATAAAAGATATTCGGATTGGAAAAAAGGAGCAAAACTATCTTTATTCTCAGATGACATGATCTTGTATATAGAAAATCCTGAAGAATGCATATGCAAACACACACACACACACATAATTACATCTACAAAATGAATTCAGCAAAGGATCAATATTCAAAATCAATGTACTAAACTCATTTGTATTTCCATACATCTGAAATGAATAATCCAAAAATGAAATTAGTAAAACAAGTCAATTTAACAATAGCATCAAAAATAATAAAATACTTAGGAATAATTTAACGAAAAAAGCACAAAATTTATCCTATGAAAATTACAAAACATCTTCAACGGAGATTAAAGAAGACTTAAATAAAAATAAATCTTATGTTCACGGATTGGAAGACTTAATATTATTAAAACACAATATTCCCCAAACTGATCTACAGATTGAATGCAATTCCTATCAAAATTCTAGCTGCCTTTCTTGCATGCATTGACAAGTGGATTCTAAAATTTATGTGGAAATGCAAGGTACTCAGAAAGCCAAAACCATCTTGAAAAAGAATAAGAAAATTGGATGGAATCACACTTCCCTATTTCAAAACTTACTATAAAACTATACTAATCAAGACAGTGTCAAACTTTCTTAAGAATAGACATGTATAGATCAATAGAATAGAACCAAGAGTCCAGAAATAAGCTCTTACATTTTTGCTCAACTGCTTTTCAACAAGGGTGTCAAGACAATTCAATGCAGAAATAATACCCTTTTTAACAAATACTGCTGGGACAACTTGATAGCCATATGCAAAATAATGAAGTTGAACCTCAACTCCTACATCATATACAAAAATTAACTCAAAATAAATCAAAAAGCTAGGAGTAATAGATAAAATCATAAAACTCTTAAAGAAAAATGATGTAAATTTCCATGACCTTGAATTAAGCAATAGTTTGTTAGCTATGACATCAAAATACAAGCAACAACAGAAGATAAATAAACTGGATTCATCAAAATTAAGTACTCTTATGCTTCAAGGAACATCGATAAAGTAAAAATACAACTCAAAGAATGAGAAAAGATTTTTGCAAATCTTAGAGCTAACAAGGGACTTGTGTCCAGAATATATAAATAATTCTTAATGACTCAACAATTTTTAAAAGCCCAACTTTTAAGAATGGCAAAAGATCTGAACAGATATTTCTTCAAAAAAAGATGGCCAGGCACAGTGGCTAATGCCTCTAATCCCACTTTGGGAAGCTTACGTGGGTGGATCACCTGAGGTCAGGAGTTCGAGACTAGCCTGGCCAACATAGTGAAACCCCATCTGTACTAAAAATTAAAAAATCAGCCAGGTGTGGTGGTGCATGCCTGTAATCCCAGCTACTCAGGAGGCTGGGGCATGAGAATCACTTGAACCTGGGAGGAGGAGGTTGCAACGAGCCGAGATTGTGCCACTGCACTCCAGTCTGGGCTACAGAGTAAGAATCCATTAAAAAAAAAAAAAAAAGATATAAGTGGTCGGTGGTCAATGTGTACATAAAATGATATTCACCATCATCAATCATCAGGGAAATGCAAATCAAAAGCACAATGAGAAAGTACTTCAAACACCCTAAGATGGCTAAACTCAAATAGACAGATAATAACAAGTGTTGATGAGAATGTGGAGAAACTGGAATCCTCATACATTGCTGACGGAATTATAAAATGGTTCAGCCACATTGGAAAACAGTTTGACAGTTCTTCAAAAAGGCAAACAATAAGTTACCATATTTAAACTCCTAGCCATATACCTAAGAGAAATGAAAATGAAATATTTTATACAAATGTTCATAGCAGCAATATCCAAATTGTGAAAACAACCCAAATGTTCATCAAGTGATGAATGAATGAACAAAATGTGGTATATTGATACAACTAAATATTATTCAACCATAAAAAGCAATGAAATTTGATACATGCTACCACGTAAATGTACCTTGATAATGTTATTTTAAGTAGAAGAAGCCAGACACAAAAAACCACATACTGTATGATTCCATTTATATGAAATAGCCAGAATAGGCAAATCTACAAAGACAGAAAATAGACTATTGATTGCCAGGGACTGAAGGAAAGGACAAGGAGAAAATGACTGCAAATGTGTATGAAGTTTTTTGGAGGAGTGATGAAAATATTCTAGAATTAGATAGTGATGAACAATTTTCTGAATATACTAAAAATCACCACATTTTATGCTTTAAGACAGTGAATTTTATGGTATATGAATTATTTCTCAATAAAGCTGTTATTTAAAAACAATGAATAACTTCACATTAACTTGGAAGGCACAATAAAAAAGACAGACAATAACAGTGTTGTGAGGATATGGACAAATTGGAACCCTTGCACATTGCTGGTGGTACTGTAAATTGGTGCAACTGTTTTGGAAAATACTTTGACAGTTCCTCAAAATGTTAAACACAGAATTAACACATGGCCTAGCAATTCCACTCCTAGGTATATGTCCAAGAGAAATGAAAACACATGTCCCCACAAAAAGCTTGTACACAAATGTTTATGCAGCATTATACATAACAGCTAAAAGGTAAAAACAATCCAAATATCCATCAACTGATGAATGGTTAACCAAAGTGTGTCATATTTGTGTGATAGAATATATGTGATGTAAGAATTCAACAAAAATTAACAAAAACATTCTGTGAAAAGTGATTGATTATATGGAGTTTATAACAAAAAGTAATGTATATTTTATTAGTAGTAGTAAATCACGTACTATACGTTTTATATCAGCAGCATTGATAATAAACCTATGTATATACACATATGTAGTCATAGCTAATGTAAGTATACTCTACATGTGTTTTTAAGCTATTTAGTTTGTTTCTAACATTATTATTAAAACAATATTAGTAAGAATTGTTAATATGTGACTAAGTCTTATTAAAAGCTAGAGTGTTAAGATCACAAAAAGATGACCAGCCAGGATAAGGGGGCATGGTAGCCAGAGAAGTCAGTGACGTTAAGTGATAACTTTTATAAAATTGTTGTCCTTAGATAAACAAACTAAAAAAGAACTCTCCAGAAAAAGAAAGATTCACAATCCTAAAATGGTAGAGAATTAAACAATGATTTGTAGATTCTATTTTTAAATAAGCATTAGAACCCTTTAGGCTATAGTTCTGGAAAACTTTTAGGAGAATAAAATATAAAGACTAACTGTCAACATTCAATTGTGGAAAATTGATCAGATTCCCAAAATCAGCTGAAATAAACAGAATTTTTGAGGGGAGTGTGGTTCAACTAATTAAGCAGAATAATTTAAAAGTATAAAATGTCAAAGTAATAACTTACGTGATATTTATTTACATTCTGATCCATTTCAACTATTGATTTTACAAACATCTATTTCTGCTTAATGTTGTAACTGACCTATCTAAACTGATACATCACACACGTTCAAGAGATATTTTTTTTTTGTAAGATAATATTTGCTATTTTGCTTTTTTTTTTTTTTTAGATGGAGTCTTGCTCTGTCACCCAGCCTGGAGTGCAGTGAGGCAATCTCTGCTCACTGCAACCTCCACCTCCTGGGTTCAAGTGATTCTCCTGCCTCAGCCTTCCAAGTAGCTGGGATTACAGGTATGGGACACCACACCCAGTTAATTTTTGTATTTTTCGTAGAGATGAGGTTTCACCATGTTGGCCAGGCTGGTCTTGAACTCCTGACCTCAGGTGATCCATCCGCCTCAGCCTCACACTCCCAAGTGCTGGGATTAGCAATTGGGCCACGCCTTGCTGTAATTTTGCTTCTTAATAGTATACACCTATGGGATGTTTGGGAGGAACAGAGAGGGAAGAAAGAAGCGAAAAATCTAAAAGCTAATCCCAGTGCTTTGGGAGACTAAGGCAGGCGGATCATGAGGTCAGGAGATCGAGACCACCCTGTATAATACGGTGAAACCCTGTCTCTACTAAAAATACAAAAAAAAAAAAAAAAAAAAAAAAAAAAAAAAATTAGCCGGGCGTGGTGGCAGGCGCCTGTAGTCCCAGTTACTCGAGAGGCTGAGGCAGGAGAATGGCGTGAACCCGGGAGGCGGAGATTGCAGTGAGCTGAGATTGTGCCACTGCACTCCAGCCTGGGTGACAGAGTGAGACTCCTTTTCAAAAAAAAAAAAAAAAAAAAAATCTAAAAACAATCACTTCCATGTTTAGACCATCACACAGCAGAAAATCAACAAAAGCAGAAAGTTTACTGCAGGAAATTAAATATATTGGCATTAGTCCTATTACTGATCATAAGAGAAAACACAAGGCAATTCCTAAGATTTGCATTTTGTTTGACTAGTTTTTCTGTTTGTTTGTTTTTGTTTTATTATTATTATTATTGTTATTATTATTACTATTATTATTTTTAGATGGAGTCTCACCCTGTTGCCCAGGCTGGAGTGCAGGAGCACAATTTCGGCTCACTGCAAACTCTGCCTCCCAGGTTCAAGAGATTCTCCTGCCTCAGCCTCCAGAGTAGCTAGGATTACAGGCACCCACCACCACACCCGGCTAATCTTTGTACTTTTAGTGGAGATGCCGTTTCTCCATGTTGGCCAGGCTGGTCTAGAACTCCTGACCTCAGGTGATCCAGCCACCTCAGCCTCCCAAAGTGCTGGGATTACAGGTGTGAGCCACTGCACCTGGCCTTTGTTTGACTGTTTACAGCTGTATGTTATAGTTCCATATCTGAAATTTCATAATCAATGCCCTATGATAACAGCAAAAAATACCAGTCTGATAATATCACTATTTGTTATTGTTATTCCAGGTATCCGTTTCTGTTACCAATACTGGAGCAGGAGTATGTGGCCAAAAAAATTGTAAATGCCATTTTAGAGGAACAAGTTTATTTAATAATGCCCAAATTTGTATATATCACATTGATTCTTAAACAGTAAGTTAATAATGATCTCACTATCATTCTGGTTATTGTGAACAAATTGTCCAATCACTGCTACCTCTTTTGCATATGAAGCTACTTTATATATTTATTTAATGGTAAGAGGAAGAACCTTAATAGTGCAAAAACAACTTATCGGATTATTGCTGTGTCTTGGTTGCTTCAGACACTGACTAAATTTAACAATTATTTAGGTCTTGCAAAACACACATTTTTTGTTTCAACACAAACAAGTAACAAATTATTTAGGGTTTTTTGTTTGTTTTTTATGTTTTTGGTTTTGGTCAACTATTTAGTTTGATTAGTGTAGAGTTCTACTTTGAAAACAAGGGACAACAAACCACAAGTATGTTGCCAGAAAAATATTAAGGGCATTTTACAATTTCTTCATTTTATTTTGCAAAATAGCTCCGGCAACTTCATGCAAGGTCCATGCTATGAGTTCCAGGTATTTGTTAATGGATTCCACCCAGGTCCACATTTAGCATTTATGTGGTGACTACTACATGCTAGCTACTGTGCTGATAGCTTTGCGTGAGTTTTATCAATTTAGGAAATCTGAGGTTTAAAGACAGTAATTTTTGCAGGGTTAAACAACTAATAATATGTGCGCAACTAAGTTTCAAACTGAAGTTTCCAATTTGATTACAGAGCTTAAGGTCTTACCCTCAAGAAATACTACTCCTTTGCTGTAAGTAGTAGCAGAGTAGAAAGCACAAGCAGAGATTCACTATTACAAAATTATGTTACTGATAAATACAGTACTTTCTTTACTATTTATATCTATTCAACATATTTCCTATTTATCCTTAGCTGACCTGATTGCTTAGCTAAGTCAAAGTCCCACATTGTACATTGCATCACATCTGTCCCTAGTTTTTGGCATACTCATCACACCCGTAGTTACTTGCTACCTTGCATGATCCCTAAGAACAGAAAATATTGTCTGAATTGTTTCCTGCTCCTTGCTGCAGCCTAGGACAATACCTAATGTGTAATTAGCATGCCATAAATATTTGCCACATCGAGCTGAATTGAGCATAACTGAACTGAAGATACAGCCTCTATCCTCAAGGAACTAAAATAATGGTTCTTCATCTTGGGTGCACATTGTAATCACCCAGGGAACATTTAAAACTACAGATTCCTGGGCCCTACCCTCCAGAGATTCTGCTTAAATGGTCCAGTTTTTTTCTAGTTTTTGCTACCTTTTGTTAGTCTAGTAAATAAGGATATATGTACTCTTTCCACAGAACTCAGGTGTGTGATACAGGGATAAATTGCAGCCTGAGCAATGGGGCTTTTCAAGGCTCTAGTGATTCCAAGGTGTAGCCAGGGTCAAGAGCCATTGGCCTTGAGGATGGTGATGGTACTTGGGGGTGACACAGCACTTTTCTCTTCCATCCTCCCATTAAGTGACACTTTGAACTTTGTATAATTTGCAGTTACTCTTTGCAAAGTAGTTTATTTGACTCCTCTCAAAGGATCATAATTTTTTTCTCTGCTTTTCTTCTAGAATAATATCTCCAAAAATGTTGATAGCCCTTGGTGAGTACCTTGGAGTGGACACTTGCATGGTTTCTTTCAAAGGGAGAAAGAAAGCAAATGAACTTCAGACTGAAACTGAAGGGAAACGCCAATAGTTCAAGCCTCAAATATGGGAATCAAAGTGTTACAAGGATGAATTATTCGTAATTCCTCCTAATGCTTAAAGGATTGCAGTCTACCAAGGATTACTAAAGCTTTCAAAAGTGTCAGTTGTGTTTCCTGAACGTAGTTTACACACCAATTATTTTTCTAAGCATTCAAGTTATCTGTCCAGTTTTTCTTATCATTTTTTAGCTTTATAAATGAGGACATTACAGTCTTTTCAATGGACTTTGAACATAATATGTTTATAAAACCATATTAATGTAAGTTGACCCTAGCTTAATTTTAAAATAGATAATATTTAATACCTTTGGAAGAGAGATAATTATAAATAATGATCTTATAAGTCAGTTTTTTAATTTTGACAATTTTTCAACATCAGCTTTAAAGATACATATTAGTTTCATAATTAAGGAAAATAATGTTTGCCTCACAAAGTAGAGGCATATTTGTGTTGCCTTTTCATTCCTAGTAGAATTAGATGTTCATCTCAAGGCTCTTAGTGGGATTGAACCTGAATATTTGATAAAATGCATTTGTAACTTGTCATTTTTGTTTGCATCTGAATATATCAAACTCTTAGCTCTTTTATTCCACTAAAAAAGTACACATTAGAATTATATACACTATTGGTTTGAAAATGAAACATTTTCATACTTAATTCAACAAAATGCTATATTAGCTGATGTAGTTGAATACATGACATAATATCCTCGTGAGAAATGGGCACAGCATGTGCCAGCTATGTGGCAAACATTCCTAACAATCTCACCTCTGGGCTGGGAATAGTTCTTGAGCTGTAATCACTATACAATAGTGTAGCTTTATCTCCATTGGGCTCCAGACCTCCTGAGCAATGGTAACACCAAAAACTGAAAATTTCAAGTAAATTAAAGTATATATTCAGTTGACCAAAAAGTGAGCACTCATTTTATCAGATCTATCCTAGTATTTGGGACATAACATGTCTATGTTCATGCAAATAAAAAGCATAATTTAACTTGAGATGAAAAAAAGTGAGAAAAAAATTTAATTTAATACAGAAATAAAATAAAACATTCCAAACAAGCAATTTGTAAGAAAATGAAACTTATCTTTTAACAGGTTTGTGAGTAAAACCCTTCTAAAATTTTGATATCTCTCTGCCTTCTTAAATGGAGTATTCAAAGCACAGTTTAACTTTTCTTTAATGTTGCAGGAGCATTAACATATTTTTACCTAGCTCAATTGACAACCAGCAGTGGTTTTTGAAGGGCCATTTACTTCTAAATAAACTGATCCACAACCCCTCATTCAGGTGTCAGAAGACTTGACATATCAGCTTTTGCTTCACTCAGCCAAGAATGTATCCTGCTACTTGCAAAGCTGAATCTATAAGATGTACTTCTATTGGCATGCCTAATATGTCTATGTATTTATGTGTTGTGTACACAATGTTTCAGTACCACTTTAAAAAGCTCTAATTAATTGGCTTAAGAAAATAAAAGCACCTTAATCAAATACTTTATGTTGGAAAAAGAAAGGACTGGTCAAATGCTTTTTCAAGTTTATGCAACTTAACTGAAATCTTTAATAAATAAACTAGCTTTAAGATTACTGGTAATGTATAATAATATTAAAAAATGTCTTAAGAATTGCCAGCATACATTTTTGTTTGCATTTATTAATTAAGCTATTTCATACTTATCCCTGCTAAATACTGTAAGATGTCAAAATTTGGCATAGGGATACAAAACTATAAACACAGCTCAAGACAGAATGATCTTTGCTGTGTAATATTTAATAAATAAGATATTGATATTAATTTAATAAAAATAGCTACATTATGAATTTAGTAGGATTACCATAACTGCTAATCTTGTGGCTTTAGACAGTCTAGTCTGCAGGCAGTAAGGTTTATTTTGGGAAGGAACTGTTATCACCTTTGTTTCAAAGCTAAACTATAAACTAAGTTCCTCCCAAATTTGCCCAGAAATCAACAAGGACAGCTTGGAGGTTAGAAGCAAGATGGAGTCAGTTATGTCAAATCTTTTTCACTGTCTCAGTTATAATTTTGCAATGGCAGCTTCATAACTTTAAATAATGACTATGGCAGTTTTCATAAATAATCTAGGTAAATGATTAAAATAAAATAAGTAGGTAAATGTAATGGGATAAATACTTATAGAAAAACTCATCATAATTTAGAAACTAAAGTTATATTAAATTAAACAATACTATTTCATTATTTAGGTATTTTCCAATAAAATATATTTGTAGAAAAACTTTCTAAAAACAAGTTGTGTCCTTTTTTAAAAAGGTGAGCAATTTTTGTCTAATTCAAAGCTCTTTTTTTATTCTGAAAAGATTCTCACTCTCTCCCCTAGGCTGAGTGCAGTGGCACAATATCAGCTCACTGCAACCTCTGCCTGCCAGGTTCAAGTGATTCTCCTGCCTCAGCCTCCTGTGTAGCTGGAATTATAGGTGTGTGCCACCACACTTGGCTAATTTTTGTATTTTAATAAAGACAGGGTTTCACTATGTTGGCCAGGCTGGTCTCAAACTCCTGACCTCATGTGATCTGCCTGCCTCAACCTCCCAAAGTGCTGGGATTACAGGCGTGTACCACCACACCCAGCCTCAAAGCTTATTTAAGGGTTATGTATTAAACAAGGAACCAGAAAATAAGAGAGATGTTTAAAAAGTTATAAAAATAAAGAGTTTTTACTAAGAAAGCTGAAAGAGAAATAATTTTATATGAGAAAGAATCTTGTACAGATTTAGTCCTGGAATAAAATGACTGGCTTTTTAAGAAAGAGGGATATTCAGGAGGAACCAGAAGGTCCAAGCATGTCATGAATGGTCTGTGTAAGTCACAATAAGTGGATATATTTTTTTAAAAACCAAGAAACAAGTTGTCTATAACTAAAAGGAAATTATAGATCTTTCTAGAGATTGGGTTTGATGTAAAAAAAATTTGTATGCTAAATAATTGGATAGAACAATGAAATTTTCTTAAGGGATTGATTTGCTCTTAATAAATTATAAGAGTTGTTTTTGTTTTCTGTGTGTGTGTGTGTGTTTTTTTGTTTTTGTTTTTGTTTTTTTTTTTTTTGAGAGATGCAGTTTTTTTCTTGTTGCCTGTGCTGGAGTGCAATGGTGTGATCTTGGCTCACTGCAACCTCTGCCTCCTGGGTTCAAGCAATTCTCCTGCCTCAGCCTCCTGAGTAGCTGGGATTACAGGCATGCACCACCATTCCCGGCTAATTTTGTGTTTTTAGTAGAGATGAGATTTCTCCATGTTGGTCAGGCTGGTCTTAAACTCCCGACTTCAAGTGATCTGCCCACCTCAGCCTCCCAAAGTGCTGAGATTACAGGTGTGAGTCACCAAGAGATTTGTTTTTTAAACACAAAGTTCAACTGTTATTGTGTCTTAGTGTTTTCAGTTTTCTCTCTCCCTTTCAAAGGTGCAAAATAGTAACACTCTCCTTAACTCATTTTCAGCTCATATAAGTTTTTTTCCTCAAGTTCTGTTTGTTGTGGCCTGATGCTAACAATGTTTTCTTAAAGGTCTACAGGAAATGTTTTCTTCCAACATAATATTCTACGTAGTGCAGAAGGTTTTTTCTTTTGCATTTGGTAAGTGGCCTAACAGATTTTACAGGGTATCGAAACAATTCCTGTCATTATTATTGAGTTTTGGTTTGCTTAGGAAAAAACTGAGATTAATTTTATTTTTGAGAGGGAGTCTCACTTTGTCACCCAGGCTGCAGTGCAGTGGTGCAATATTGGCTCACTGCAACCTCTGCCTCCCAGGTTCAAGCAATTCTCCTGCCTCAGTCTCCTGAGTAGCTGGGATTTAATCAAGATTATTATGACCATGTATCTTTCTGTGTATGCCTTTAAAGTACTTGTGACATTAAGTTACAGGGCTTTGACTGCTTGAGTCTAAAAAGAACACCAAGTCTTGCTAAATCTTAAACACTGACAGCAATTAAAGCCTCATCTTCAAGCAGGCCCAGTAGAAGGTGCAAATCAAAATAAACTGGATTCCTGAGACACAGGGCCAGAAATTAAAGCTATTAACTCTTCAAGTCCCAGGGACTATTGCCAAAGAGGTGGGCATGTGAGATTGTAAGGGCTAATTTTTGATAAATAAAATAAATTCAGTTTCTCTATAAATTAATAATTAATGTCAAAGGCACACTGATACGAGACCAGCATACAGGCCCCTATGTCAGATTAACAAGGTTTTTATGAAGTATTAACTGACCCCTTAATAAAGATCATAAAGGTTATAAAAGTTTATGGAAGTGATATCTTATGGTCAGGATTAAAATTTTATAGATTGTTTATAAAATTTTGCAGAACAAATTTAATTAGTTTCATGCTGTTCTTACTAGGGCTTCTCATTTGGAACTTTAAGTCTCCTCTCTCAAAAAATGAAAGTTTTCACCTTTTTGAAATCCTTGAGTTATCACTTTGGTTAAATGAATGACTTATTTTACAGTGATCTGTGATCCTATTTTGTAATATCAAGTGTTTTAAACCTTTGATATTTGACAGACTTTTCAAAATCAAATTATAAATTATGTCTTTTGCTGACCTAATTAATCCTTTAAGATGTTAGGTTCCCTAAAGTCCAAAAATAACATAATTTGGCTTATTTGGTACAAAAATTATATAGGAAGCATTGTCAAATATGAAATGGTATTTGGTTTTGGGGGCTGTATTTGTGCAAATATGTTATTGGTGTGTGTTCCAAAACTATGAGAAACTTCTGTAATTCTGATATGACTTTGTTTACATTATTAGTAATAATTATAATTGTTGGCCAAGCACGGTGGCTCATGCCTGTAATCCCAGCACTTTGGGAGGCCTAGGCAGGTGGATCATGAGGTCAGGAGATTGAGACCATCCTGGATAACACAGTGAAGCCCCATCTCTACTAAAAATACAAAAAATAGCTGGGCTTGGTGGCAGGCACCTGTAGTCCCAGCTACTCAGGAGGCTGAGGCAGGAGAACAGCATGAACCCAGGAGGCGGAACTTGCAGTGAGCCAAGATAGCACCACTGTACTCCAGCCTGGGTGACAGAGTGAGACTCTGTCTCAAAAAAAA